ACAGCTGCTAAATGCCTGTGTGTCTTTCTGTACTTTCAGCAATGTGTAAATTTGAAGCTATTTGCAAATAGTGGCCTAGCAAGCACACAAGGAAGCCCGGTACCGTTAGGGAAATAAAGTTATAGTAGGATGTTTTGTACCTGTGAGAGTGGCTGCTAAGAAAGCCGTAGTGCTCAGTTTGAGCTGTGATGCCCCGAACTTCTCCCTGCTTCCATGAGAGCGAGGTGGTAGGCATAGCCATTGCTCACTTTCCATGTCCTAACATCCTGACCTGCCGGGGCTCCCAAGAAGTGGAAACACCCAGATCTCCTTGTAGCAGCTTCCTATCTAACTGCCAAACCCTAGGAGCACCTACATGGCCGTGGACAGATACATCATGCAATAATCTGGCCAAGCGTCATAGCCCACAGGCTTCAGAAAGGAAGTGTGTGAACAAGCCCACGAGATGTGGGTTTCAGTGGGGAAGACATCCTGGACATGGACAAGCTGGACGGCAAAATGAGCAATGCAGACTGAAGTGGAGGGAGGGGCCAGGGTGTGGGTGGGTTGTAGTGGGGACTTGAGATGAAACTGCAACAGGGTGAGTTTTTCTGTATGCAAACTACACCTCCACAAGTCTGACTTGTTACACAAAGTAACAAAATGTTAAAACAAAAACAGCTAATTTAAGCAAGCTGTGAGACTACTTTTGCCCGGGTGTGGTCTTTACCCAGGAACCCTTGAAATCTGTTCCATGAGCCTTTCTCTTCTGTTCTCACCCAACTGTGGTTTTGTTTTCAGCATCCGGGAATACCCTCCTCTACCCCCAGAGGCCTGTGTATATTCTAACCACATTAAAGTAGTAGCTTGTTTAAGTGCCAAGTGTCTCACCTGAGTTCCTAAAAAGTAGCACTCGGAAGAAGTCATTCATGTTCAGAGGAACTTGTCAGCTAAGACTTCTGGGACATGAAACTATTTAAAGAGAAAAGAGTAGGCCCTGGGTGTGAGGGTAAAGAGCCAGACAGAACAGGACATGAAATACTTCAAGGGGAAAGGAGCCCTGGGTAATGAAGGAGGAGGAGCATTGTCATACCAACCGTGTAGCCCTTACTTAATCAATGACTGCTCACTCACCCTTAAAAAACAGAGTAGAACAAGATTCTCAGAGTATTCATAAATTTTTTGGAAATGACATCTTGGGTTTTCCAAGAACTTTTGGTGCTGTCTGCTGGCCCAGCCTGAACCTTAGCAGGAGACATTATTACCGAGGAAGATACTGGAACATGTATGCTCGCATGTAATCAGGCAAAGGAACAAGAAGTAAGCTACTGCACCTTGAAAATGGCTGTAATTAAAAAAGAAAAAAAAGATCCAAATGTCCATGAGGAAGCAGAGCATGTAGAAGTGGTACAGCTCTAGTGGGAATCAAGCTGGTGGTTTCTTAAAACATGAAGTAGATGTACCAAGTGACCCAGCAACTCCATTCCTCGGTAATTACCAAAGGAATTGAAAACAGGAACACATACCGATAGCAGCATTGTTCACAGCAGCCGGAGGATGGAGAGGAGCCTGTCAACAGCATGGGTAGATAGACTATGGCGAGCTCTTCCAGTGGGTGCTACTCAGCCTGGAGAGGGAAGAGGTCACGTGCCGCAACATTGATGGGCTTCAAAACTTTATATTAAGCGAAATGAGCCAGACTCAGAACAATGTGAGATTTCATTTGTGTAAAATCCAGTGTGACAAAAGCAGTAGTGGCTGTCAGAGGTATGGGGAGATATTTAAGAGAAATAATTATGGTAAAATGCAGAGTAACTACTGGGTATAAGGCTTCTTTTTGGAGTGATGGAAATGTTTCAGGGTACAGATGTGGTTGGTTGCATACCACTATGGATGTGCCAAATGTCAGTGAACTGTTCACTTTGGGGCAGGGGGAAGGTGTTATGTGAATTTCACAATGATAATAAAAAGATTGTTTTAAAACAAGATGGCTGACTTTTTTATCAGTGTATGTAAGTGATGCTTGTTTAACAATATGGTTAAAACTATGCTGTCAGGCACAAAACTAGTTACCTAACTAGTAACATCCAGTTAGGTATTTGACATGCACACCTCACTGTGGAATGTTACTGTTTTAATTATAGTTATTTTAAAAGCTGGTTGTTGTGATGGTGCATACTTTTAATCCTAGTTCTCAGAGATAGGAGAATCATGAGATCATGAGTTCAAGACCAGCCCAGACTAGATACAAGACCCTGTCTGAAAAAGGAGGTACAATGGTGGGGGGGGGGGCTGAAGGGCTTGGGAGGTGGCTCGGTGGGTAAGAGCACTTGCTGTGCAAGCATAAAGACCTGAGTTTGAAGCTCCAGTACCCATGTTGTGGGGCTTTGTTTGTTTGTTTGTTTGTTGGCATGGTTGCTGTGTCATTAATGGGAAATGGAGGCACATTCCAGGAGCTCTCTGGCCAGCCAGCCCAGCTTCATAGTGTGGAGAGCAATAGGGGAAATACCAACATCCTCCTCTGCTCTCCACCTGTATACACAGGCATACACACTTGTACTCATGTGCATACAGCACACACACAAAGAGCCTGAAATGCAGTGCAGTGGTACGTTACTCTTCAGGTGTGCACAGTGCCCTTAGTTGATCCTTAGTGCTACAGTTCTTTTGACTTTTTTTTTTTTTTTTTTTTGGAAGAATTTGAGCATGTTAGAATTAAAAGTTCTATGAAATTAAATACAGATAAAATATTTCTAATGAAGTGATAGAATGTGTCATGAATTTGTTGGATTTGCTTAGTAACAAGTAGAGCTGGTATGGGATGAGCCCATCCCCCCATGATAGACTTGGCAGTGAGCCTTTCCCTTACATCTGGCAGATGGCTATAACCCAGTCTCTTTGTGGGGCAAGCTAGTGACTTGTCCTGTCTTCCATGTCTCACTAGTGACTTCCATGTCTCACCGTGCCTATGGAGCTGTGAGTTGACTATTTGTGTAGACCTGGTGGTGGGGTGGAGCCTGGTCTGGGTGGTTTACAAAGGCCTGTCAGCAATAGTTGATCTGCAGACAGTGCTAGGTCTTCCCCTGCTGTGCTCCTGGTGTGCTTAGACCTGAAGGAGGCTCCGCCTCACACAGCCCTGGCTTACAGAATTTGTCTTCCATCTTAAACAAGCATGACAATGTTTATACTACAGAGCTTGGGAGTTGTAATAGTTTATTACTGTAGATCTCAATAATTATTATTGATAAAGATAAAGGCTGTTGTCTTTCCAGCAGTTTACTGTTTTTCTGTCTTCTGGAATAGAGAAAGTGTTAATTTCTGACTTGAAGGTTCTTTACCTCTCAGGCTTGGTAAAGACAGGGCAGGATTCTCAGCATTAGGGTTTTTCGATCTTATTTAGGGTTACCACCTCATAAACTGCACATCATTTGGGGGCCTGTGGTTGGAATATCTAGAATAACTTTGTTTTAAGTTTAAGTTGGGGACTAAATGGCAACATTTACTGGTGGAACTGCCACCATAGGCAGGTGCTCTCTCCTATTTAAAAAAATGTGGGGGTGTTTTTTCATTTATTTTATGTGCATGGGTATTTTGCCTGCATCTGTGCCTGTGCACCACACGTGCATGATGCTTGGAAAGGCCAGAAGAGGCAGTTAGGCACCATGGGATTGGAGTTATGGGCAGTTGGGAACCACCATGTGGGTTCTCTGGAAGAGTAGCCAGTGCTCTTAACCAGTGAGTCATCTCTGCGGACCCTTGTCCCCGTATTTATTCCCTTGTACTTTGGGCATAAGGAGTAGAAGTTTTAAGGTACTGATGTCATGCCATGATTACAGGTTTTTATGTTGTTTTTTCCATTTCTGGAAACCTCCATTTAATGTCCTGTACTGTCAGCCTCTCCTTTTAGATGATAATATTCTTGGGGGCTGACCCCAGGATTCTATAGATCAGGCTTTGCAGCCCATGACCCCTTCTGTGAGCACTGAAGAGTTTTTCCCATCACAGACTCATCGTACAAGCTGGGCAAGCATTACACCCTTGGTCCATTCTGATAGAAGTTTCCTTGTGAGTCCAGACAGTGACCATGAAGGATATGCCTCCAGTTTCTTTTGTGTATCCCTTTGACTGGGAAAGATATGTCTTGTACCTTACTGTACTGTGTCCTTGTGACAGAAGCAGCTGTGTCCTGGAACACCAGGTTTGAAAGATGCCGCTGATATTCTTTGTTCCATTCTTGCTGAAATTCCGTTTGGCTACTGAGTTTCTGTGCTCATGTGATAAGTTTTACAGACTCTAGTGCTACGCTGCGTGGTATTGGGTGGGTGCTGCTTTGTTTGACCACAGTGGATCTGACTGTCCTGTAGCTTGAGTTCACTTCCTCTTAGGCATCTCTCTGAAACAAGGACTGGGGCTGGAGAATTCCTTCAGGTACAAAGGAGGAAGTGGGGACAGGCACCTGGGCCCTGGTTATGGGAGGAATCTGTGGAAGATTCTGTCAAGTATTAGGCTGGACCCTTCATCTCAGAGGCAGCAAGAGATTGAGTGTTGCTCTTGAAAGAAAGAAAGATCATTCCCAAGGGAGGTAACTTGGTTGAACAAGGCCCTATCAAGCAGGACTCTCTGTGGTGGAGATGCAGCAGCATAAGAAAGTCCTATGATGATGGATCAGAGGATTTTAGAGAACAGTGTCTGTCTAGGAAGTGTGGGCACACGTGGTAGACAGTATTCTGATTGTGAGGATGAAGATCTGTAGTATACAGGTCTCCTTAGTTGCCCTTAACCTGACCTCTGGCTCAGAGGGTCCTGTGTGTGACCTCATATACCCACTCCTACAGCCATCTTTCCTTTGTGCAGGTTCTAAGCTCAGCCTGGAATATCTTCCCTTCTTATACTTGCTGTCCCAAGCACAATATGCCTGCTCTTCTTAGTAGGCCCTGTCCACAGTGCTAAGTATTCTTTTCCCTGAGCCTGGGGCTGTCTCCTGTCATACTTGATACAGGATTTTTCCTTGCTTGTTCCAGGTGAATCTGAGCAAGGTTGGCGAGTACTGGTGGAGTGCGATCCTGGAGGGAGAAGAGCCCATCGACATTGACAAGATCAACAAAGAGCGCTCCATGGCCACCGTGGATGAGGAAGAGCAGGCAGTCCTGGACAGACTCACCTTTGACTACCACCAGAAACTGCAGGGCAAGCCCCAGAGCCATGAGCTGGTATGAGCACCATGGCTCTCCTTGTAGCAACAGCAGGCGAGTGGGTCATGCTGGAGAGGAAGAGTGTGTGAGGATAGGCTAGTCCTGGTTTGGCCCTTGCTTCAGTTCTGCAATGTCCTGCCTAGGCCTATGCCTTACCCAAGGATAGATACACACCGCTATTCAGCCATATCTCATTCCTGAGCTGCAAACTGTAGTAGCAGGAGGTGTCTCTTGATGTGCCCTGAACATACCATAGCCCAGAATTGTTGAGTGTTGATGGCTCCATATGCCTTATCCGTAGGCAACTTTCCTGGAGCCCTGAGAGCCCCCTTGGTGGAAGAGGGGAGGGCCAGGCTGCAGAGCCAGCTTAGGTTCTGACTTCAAAAGTTAATGCGTGGCAAATAGGAGAGTGAAGTGAAGTGCTGGGGCTATAACAGGGGAGTATGAGGTCAGGAAGAGGCTGTACCAGACCTGTGTAGTACCCAGGGACAGCCTGCTGATGGCAAAGAATGACTGCTTACATAAACACATTTTTCCTTCCTCGTAATAGTCCTGAGAGTAGCTACTTAGGGAAGAAAAGGCTGTTGCCACAGGTCTTCATCACTGTCAAAAGCCTAACTGAACAGCACCTAAGCTTGTGTGCATGTAGACCAAGTGTGGTTCGGAGAAGGATCAGCAACGGGTATAGGCTGTCTACAGAAAGCCAGACCTCAGGGCTCCAGAGAAGTTACTGTGTGTTCCCTATGGTCTCGGAAGGAGCCTTCGTGGTTTGTTGGATTGTTCCAGCCTTCCCGTCAGAGAAGCATTGTACACTGGAGTAGGCTCTTAGATGTGCTCTGTTGCTGCATTGGCCACTGTAGTATGTTTTCATAGACATGTTCCCTGTGAGTGAGGTCCAGAAGTCTTTAGAGGCAGTGCTGGTGTCCTTACCTCTTCCCCCAGGCTATACCAGGATATGTCGTGAGCATGAACCATGATGGGCAGGGTGTGTTGACTGGCTGTAGGCTCTTCATAACAGCCCTAGTTAGATGGTCTGTGTTTCACAAAGAAGAGGTCAAGTTTCTGAGGTCTCAGGTTGTATTATGCCTCATAGCAGCTCTAGCAGAGGGCTGAGGTTTACTTCTCTGTCCTGGCCCTAGGTATGGTGAGGGAAAGGACATCTGTGGGGGGAAAGTACATATAATGAAGGTCCTCAGACAGAAACTAGGAACTTAGCACTCTCACCTTAGCAGAGATAGCCAGACCTGCGTGGTCACAGTGTAATCCTGTCATGTTGGCCCGTGTCCACTGGACAGAAGGTCTATCTGTGACCCTTTGCCTTAAGGGTGGAACCTTATAGATTTGCTCACTCCTATGTTCAGGATCAGGCCTTTGTCCACAATGCACTGAGAAGTCTATGCAAGGTACATGCCAGGAAAGAGTCTGTTTTGACTGGAGAAGCAAATGCAGGTGCCATCATCTTGGGTGGGTTGGAAGGAGGAACTACCAGGTACCACTGAGAAACTTGTGCCACAGAGTGGGGAGACCAAGGAGGAGTGGCTCTTCATATTTTCCCCAGATGCAGTGACTGAGTCTTTGTTGTAGAGAAACATTGAAGTAGATATGACCATGGCTTGAACTGCTTGCGTACATTTGCTAGAGCTCAGTGAAGTCTTCTGTAGATTTGAACAGTGAGGTGGAAGAGAAGCTAGAAGGCTCTACAGCTGTCTGCACCTGTGATTCACAAGGTCCCCAGGATTACATCCCTTCCAGGACACAAGTCAAAACAGCCTCAAGTGCCACTAGTCTGGGAGTTAGCCACAGTGTAGGATCTGCATGATATGTCGGGTTCTATGCTACCCAGCTCCTTCCTCGCCCTTGATCTTTGCACTCATTGTTTCCACACTTGTGTAGCCCTCCTTCCTTCTTTTGGTGCTGATGCCCTCTGGCATGGCCCATTGTCACCGACCTCGAGGACAAATGGAAAACAGTCTGTATCACAGAGTCTGTATAAGAGCATAGCTGTCTTCACGGAGTTAAGAGGCCAGCCTCTTTAATCTGATGTTATCCAGCAAAGGTCCTCTGCAGGAACTGGCTGCTGCTTTGTTTCCATCTCTGTAGGTGTTAGGTCTCCTTGTTCTGGTGGTACCTCCTAGCCTACTGTCCAGGACTGGGAATAGGGTAATGTGCTGGTCTCCAGTAACCAAGGCAGCTTTTGGAACGTTCTGGCCTCCAAGATCCTCACTACCAGTCTGAAGCAGCCTACCAAAAGCATCAAAAGATAGCAGAGTTAACCTCTTATGTATGCACTGTGCACATACACACTTAATGCAGCATCCTGGGTGTTGGCCTGCTGCTGGGAAGCTGGCTTACTCCAAAGGCAAGGCTTTGGAGGTGTCCTGTTTTTGCTTTCTGTGAAGACTGCCCTCTTTGTCCACAAGACATTGCAGAAACCTGAATGTGAAACAGAAAGTCTTTACAACTGTGCATAGAAGACTTGTCCATGGCTGATGTACAGCTTCATGACCCAGCACTGTGAAACTGAAGACACCGAACAGCAGCCCAGCTAAGAAGGACCCTAACGAAAACCTTGAAGATGTTGTGCTTTAGTGGAAAGAGCTTTGTCCTGAGTCTAAATTGATCCTGCTGTGGACTTGCCATGGGTCTGGCAAGGACCACTGAGGGATGAATGTGCTTGTCCCAGCAAGGCCTTTAAGGAGCCTAGTAGTGCATGGGTGGAACCCAGTGTGATTCCCTCCCCAGAGCTGACTGAAGTAATCAGGATGAGCATAGCTGTTAGGGCCGTGGTAATTAGCTGTCCCACTCTCTGCCTGGTATAGTGCTGAAGTCCCAGCTCCCTTTCTAGGCTTGAAATGCCTTGGAGACACATCTTTAGCACACAGCACTCTGGGGTTCCATATAAAGCATCTTTAGTGCTTTGTTTTATTAAAGAAAGAGAACTAGAAATGTAGGTCTGGGCCCTTTTGTTTCCTCATAGAGCAGGTTAGTACATAACCGATACGCACATGTAGGGGTTTTGTGGATGGTTGAGGTCACTTCTCTAGGATTGCCACCCCTAACTAGCAGAGAGAGAGAATGGAAACGGGGCCAGGTTCTTCTGCCAGCCTCCATCTGCTGTGCGCACTGGCAGTCACAGTTACCAACGGGGCTCTCTGTATTGATGCCCATTTATGGTGTAAACTTGAAGTTTTCTAAATTTGCCAGAATTTTAAATTGTGCTTCTAATGCCACCAGTGCTTTGTGTTTTAAAGCATTTTAATTTTGAATGGTAATATACTTCTTTTGTCATTTTGAATTCTTTAATGTCGCCATAAGGTCACTTCTTTCCAAAGTCAACAAATGAAATACTCCTTTTCCCTAGTTAGATTTCTTTGAGCCGGTGTTCATCTAAAGGGGGTATGTAGAAGTACTCAGGTGCCATTGCTCTGTCTGTGTTTTGATGTTTCTGTCCAGGATTCCTCCAGCCTGTGGTGCTTGCCCCTAACAGTGACCGACATTGCGCAGGCAGGTGCCAGTGTTTCCTATGAGTGAATTTGGTGGCACACCAAATCTCTATTTTTCCCCTGGAGAAAGGGCCAAGCATTTATCTTGGCATCCTAGGCTCCCTCAATTGTGAAAACAAACCCAGCAGCCTACCCTTTCCACTCTGGGCTTGCTACAGTAGGTCCCCACCCGGCCACCAAGTTCTGTTCACCCAGCAGCCGGCTGAGACTGCTGAGGGGGATCACTAACCTCCTCCTTACCTGGTCACCTGGCTGCTCTCATCTTGCATTGCTTTGAGACTGCATAGCTTCACACTTCTCATGGACAAAGATGGAGGCCTTTGATACACTTGTTGCTACCTCTCTTGGTTTAAAAATAAGCAAAATCTCTGGCAGTAGAAAGCTTGGACTTTGTTTAACAATCCCTAGTTCTGATAATCCCATAACTTTGCTGACATTCAGAATTTTCCAGTTGTGATACGGGCAGCATCATCTGTCCTCTGCACCTGTTCTACAGGGCTGTCTACAACAGGTGCTCCATTGGGGGATCCATGCATCTTGTTAGTCCTTTTGGTTTCTTGTGGTTGGAAAGAAGGAAAGGCCTTCATCCTTGGGTGCGCCTGTGGTAACAGCTGAGGAAGGCAGATGCTCAGAGAAAGGTTAGCCCTTCAGCATAGGCACAGCCATAGACACATAGCTCTAGTCTGCCTCTCCCTTTCAAAGGCTACACAGTTCGGCAATGGCCATAGGCTGGGAGGAGCTAGCCCCACTAGCTCTTAGTGTGTCCTAAAAGGCAGTGGGGCATTTCTCACTGCCAGGTCCACAGCTGGACATTTTGAGGTCTCTCTCTCTCTTCCTCTGCATCATCTCATCCTGGTCCATCCTGTATTGTCTGATGCATTTCTCAATGACAAGAACTTCCTTCCTTGGGGAAGAGGTACTAAAACATCTTTGCATACCTTAGTCATGTGCCTAAGGGGCTGGGGCACCACCCCTTCATATCTTAACCATCTCCCTGGGGATTGTAGACTCTGGGTTGTGTGGAATTTGGGCAGACATAATGGAAAGGGACAGAGATAAACCCTATAGAGCAGTCGCTGCTTTACTGGAGACTGAAGCTGGAAAGCTGGAGGTTCAGTCTTGGGAGAACAATCTTGCAGAGGAATTGGCAGTCACTTGGGCCCAAACTACTGTAGCTTCTGCAGCCTTCTGGCTAGTTGGTCCTAGCAGGCAAGCCCTCAAGCCCTGAGGAAGCAGGATGTCTCTGTGCCCTCAGGCAGTCTGTTCTAGGAGAAAGCATGCAATGGTCTGTGATCTCCTTTAATCTCTCTATTTTCTGTTTGTAGAAAGTCCATGAGATGCTGAAGAAGGGGTGGGATGCTGAAGGCTCTCCCTTCCGAGGCCAGCGATTCGACCCAGCCATGTTCAACATCTCCCCAGGGGCTGTGCAGTTTTAATGTGACCGGAAGTAAAAGGAAACCCTCACCATTGGGGAGGTGGAGACCTTGTCCCCCTTACTCCCTGCATGCCAGGGACTCACTCCTCCTCATCAATCCTAGCTGTTTTTTCTTTCATGATGAAGCAGGCCTTCCACACTGACCTTCCACCTTCAGATTATTCTAGAGAAGGTGCAGGGCCAGCTGTTGCCTGGCATTCTCTGTGGCCAGCACTAAATGAAGGTGTTTGAAATGCAGGAGGGACATGTCCCAGCAAACTGGGAGCACACATTCTGTCTCCGCAGCAACCAGCCACTGCAGGCAGCATTTCCTTCCTCCCCTGTTCTTTCTGCTTGCTGTTGTTTTGACGCTATTCTGCTTGCTTGTCTTCTGGTTGGGGATAAGGAGTGGCTGGGCTCAGAAAAAGCTAAGTTGAACCGGGTGGAGCCAGGTACCTGCATGAGGGCGAACGGGCCATGGCTGTGGAGCTGCTTCTGGGACTGTTATGGGACCCCCTTACTTGTTGGCCTCTTTCTCTCTCTCTCTCTCTCTCTCTCTCTCTCTCTCTCTCTCTTTCTCCATGTACATGTGTGTGTGTGCACGCGCGCATGTGTGTATGCACGCATATGTCTTGCTCATCTCTTTGTGAATACACTTGGCCTGCCTCAGTATTATGGGCAGAACAGCAGAAACTGGGGTCTGTTTGCCTGTTTGAGATGTTGGGGAAAAGTTTGAGGTTCTGGCCCGGGTGTGGCAAGGATCCTGTCTGCCCTCTGACTTCAGCTGCTTTGCTTTGGTTCTTGTTGAAGTGAACTGAGCCTAGCCACCACTCCTTGCACCCACAAGACCTCCTCTTCAGGTGTGCTGCACTGAAGCCTGGGTACCTTCAGGAAGAGATCACAGCATGTTGGTAGTTCATTGGTACATTGCGTCAAGCATACTTCCTAAGCAGCTTTGACCTTGAAGGATGCCTCAGGAAGAAAATATTATCCACCAACTTGAAGACAACTACAGTTGAGTCCAAGAAATTGAAGATTCCCCTAAGTCAACCACCAAACTGCTCCCTGGAGCTCAGAGCCTGTGTGGCCCCTGATTACCTCCAGTCAGGGTGTGAAGACCTGACCAAGGGACAGGGACCCAGGTGTCCCAACCCTTACACAGGGCCTTCTCTATGCCTGTTGCTGCCTGGCATCTCTATTTGCCTGGCTCCCAATCTTGGTGTGTGTGCATCACACCACAGATTTCAGTACTCTGGTAACCAACCATGCAACCAGCAAGAATTAAGACCCTTTGAAGCCAAGGCAGCCTGCTCTCTGGAAATATCCCTGCACTGAGTGCCAGTTACACATGCTTTGGAGGAGCCATTGTAAGAGCAAGTTGTAGGACTACTTATTTTAAGAAGCTTTCCATCAACTGTGTAGACAGGAGCTGCTTCATTGTAGTCACTTGAGGGATTTCTGATTTACTTCTTAAAAGTCCATATTGGGAGTTAATCTGTGGGCCTAGATAGACCACTGTGGTGGTCAAAGGAGAGCAGTGGACCCCAAATGCCCACTCTGGAGTGTGACCTTGTGATTGGACATTCGTCACCACGTTTATAAATTCTCCCTAAAGAGGCCACCCTCGGCGTGCAGAATCTGTCACGTTCAGAGGATCCCCAGGACACTTTGCTATTTGTTTCTGAAGTTTCCATCAAGGTCCTAGGCTTTGCACATCCCTATCCCATGCAAGCTGACCCACCTAATGAAGGAAGTCTCATGCGGTGTTTGTGTCTCCAGTCTTCTCTGTGGTCCTAGTTGGCTTCCTCTCAGCCCTCTTCCTGTGGGTAGTCTTCCAGAAGGAATAACGAAGTGGGAGAGCCCTGCATCTTCTTTGGGACAATGTTTCTGTGGCAACTTGTCTTCCTTTGGCATGGTTTTATTTTTTGTGTTGCATTTTTTTCCTTTGTCCCTGCCTTGTTTCAGCAAACAAGCCTGTGCAGAAAAAGCAGCCTGGGGGATAGTTTTGGGTGTGGGCCATGTGGCAGGAACCTGAGCTCTCTGACTGATCCCTGTGGTTTGTTGTGCTTGGTGTGGTGGTGGCTACTGTACCTACATGTCTTCATCACAGTGGGGCTCAATCCCAGCCAGTCAAGTAGATAGTTCTTTGCCCTGACGCACTGCCCTGGCTCGCCCAGCCTCTGAAGTTGGCACATTGCCTGTTTTCTCTTTTTAGACACGACAGCCACAGTTGGGTCTCTAAGTCCCACCAGCTGAGGTCTGAGGAAGGCAGGGTGACTGCGTCCCCTTTGTCCAAAGACCCAGAGAGTGGGTGTCCAGCCTGCAAAGCTGCTCTGGCTCCTCGGTGTTGGTTTGCAATAAATCTGTATTTAAGCAGTTCTGAGTCTGTCTGTGACATTCACTGTTAAGACACTTCTGTGAGTGGTCATTACCCTTGACTTCTAGCCATAAGTCCTGAGTCCCTCTACATAGTCAATACCAAAACTATATTCTCTGGGTTGTTTCTCATCTGGTCTGTTGAGTTGTTACCTTTAGAAGGCCTATAAGCTATTAATTGGATTATTTCAGACAGATTCTGGCATTTCCTTGTTACCCTAAAGGCCCATTCAAAATCCTGAATCATCCTGTTAGAGACCCCTTGTCTTAGAGTTATTGCTATAATCAAACACCATGACCAAGCGTAACTTGGGGAGGAAGGGGTTTGTTTATTTGGCATACATTATAATGCATCATTGAAGGAAGTCAGGCAGGAACTCAAAGCAGGAACCTTGAGGCATTTGCTAATGAGGCCGTGGAGGAGTGCTGCTTGCTGGCTCACTCCCTCATGGCTTGCTCAGCCTGCTTTCTTACAGAACCCAGGACCACCAGTGCAGGGATGGCACCACCCACATGGGCTGCCCCCACCTCCAATCAATCACTAGTTAAGAAAATACCTTCCAGGCTCATCTACAGCCAGACCTGATAGACACACTTTTCCAGCTGAGATTCTCTTCTCTGAGATGACTAGAGCTGTGTCAAACTGATCTAAAACTAGCCAGCGCCCAGTCCTCCCCTCACTGTATTAGGCTCCCAAGCCCTGACTACACAGGCTCTCACCAGTACTAACCCTGTATCTGAGTCAGAATCCACCTGTTCCAGAGGATCCATCAATGACCCTACTCACTCTCAGTAGACAGGACCTGTGGGCTTGAAAGTTAGCTTCTAACTGAATAAAGAACATTGGAATTACCCATCTAATTCTCAGGACCAGAAATAACCATAAAAAAAGAAAAAGAAAAAAAAAAGACATCTCTAGTGATTGGCCCTGAGAGTACAGGAGTACTCACAGTAAAGCATTTTGTGTGGAAATGTGTCCAGGAGGCGTCAGCTGCTGTGCAGAGAACTCACTGGCCAGAACACTGTGCTTGGCGAACAGACCCTCACCCCACCTCAAATCTGCTCCTCTAGTGGGCCAGCTGGCAGCCAGCTCAGCCAGGAACTGTTTGGCCTGCTTTTGTGAGTTAGTACAGAGCCCGGCCAGTCCCTGAGTAGCTCTCCTGTGTGGTTAGAGACCTAGTGACCCTGCTCACTGGTACCCTGGGGCAGAGCTCGGTGTTCCACACAATGAGAACTGGCTATTGGCCAACTGAGGTTGATCTCTACCCCTGCCTCCCTGAAGGTCTGGAGAGTCAGTTGTCGAAATAACCTACTGCCCAGGCGCATTTACTGGGCACCAGAAGATACTGCACAGATATGGTCTGAAAGCCCTGGGGGTCTCCTTCCAGTCTTGTTTAGTATGTATCTCAGGTGAGAAAAAAGATTAATAGTCTTCCCTTTCAGAGCCTTCAGTTAAGAGCTGTTAAAGTGCTTTATTGTTTTGTTGTTGTTTTGGTTCATTTCTCCCTGTCCCCCAAACCCAGGATTTCTCTGTGTATTCTTAGCCATCCTAGAACTTGATCTGTAGATCAGGCTGATCTACAGATCAGCCTGTCTCTGCCACCTGAGTAGAGGGATTAAAGGTGTGGGCTGCCACCACCACCCTTTTTTTTTTTTTTTTTTTTTTAGTTTGTTTTGTTTTTCTTTTTTTAAGACTGGGTTTCGAAACTCTGTTGACCTGGCTGTCCTGGAACTCACCCTGTACAGCACGCTGGCCTCGAACTCACAGAGATCTGCCTGCCCCTGCCTCCTGAGTGCTGGGATTAAAGGTGTATGTCACTACTGCCCAGTTTTTGTTTTTATTTCTTAAGTCTCAAAATTGACAACTTTGTCTTCAAGGTGAGGACAAAGCCCAACATAGGTGAACTCTCAGTGTTGGAGTTCCTGCCTGTTCTCCACAGTCAAGAGCCCAAGACTCCCACTGCATGTACAGAAGGCCTTGTGCCAAGGAAAACAGGCTGCCACCTGCAGGCTGGTGGCTCCCCGCTATTCCTGGGGTTGGGGAGAAGAGCCTATCACAGGGCCAGCTCACCTTGTGGCTGTGGGGATAGTCTGAGATTGGGACAGAGTCACGCCACAGCCCAGGCTGTGGATGTCACTGCAAGGTTAGCCTCTGGATTTCTACATGGACTTTTCTGCCTGGTAGGTTAGCATTTGCCCGTTGGTTAAGATCAAAGATGCCTAGCCTGGGAGGTAGCCTTGTCTCCCTTTCTGTTGCTTCTTTATACTAGGTTTTGCAAAGAGCTGGACAAGGCCTCAGGGACTTCCTAGTACAACCCTTCGTGTTAGTTACAGGAGCAAGTTAACTCTCTTAAGAGTGTATGGCCTGTGGCTACCTCATCTGTCTCCAGTCACCCTCAGCATCCAACATAACACTGCCCCAAAGGTAGCTTCTCCCTTTCTTGTCTGTAGTTGTAATTCATCTGAACCATTAACAACCCGGACATAGGTGCCTCAGTGGCTCCCCAACCCTTTGCTACGGAGAAGGGCCAACTTCCTAATAGAGTCGTTGCAGAAGGTCAGGATGGAAAAGAGCCACAGAAGACAGGGCTTACAGTTAAGAGCTAGGACTCAGGTGGCTTTCCTGCAGGCAGAGAGCTGCTCGGTTATGGATCCATGGCAGAAGCATTGCTGACAGAGAACTGGGCTTAGGGTCATCTGGTGACCCAGTGGTGCCAGCTCCTCGGGAGTTGTGGGAACTGACGGCTTTGTGTATGGAGCTCCAGCCCGTAGGACAACAGTCATACGTGGGGACCCTTGGAGAGACTGCAGGCCTTGGCCATTGGAAGGTTCCGGCAGCACTGAGTCACCACCTGTTCTGTAGGGTACAGAGCAGGGGAGGGATTTTGTTAACTGTGGGTATCATTTCTCAGCCTGGCTCTGGGCAGAGCATGGGTGAGTTGAAGGTGAGTTAGCTAACTTTGCCAAGCCTACTTAGTCCATCAGACAAGGGTCCAGTCAGTCAAAGCCCTGCCTAAGGGTGGGAAGGTGCCCTCATCTGGACAGTGGTCATCTCACTGTCCTCCCACTGTAGATAGAGCCAGGGAAAGAAACATTCAGACCCCTGCCAGGACCACCAAGAATGCCTGTCTCCTTTGTCCTTGTATCAGAGTGCCTGGGGCACAGGACCTAAAGTGGATACTCCATCTGCCTGCCTGCCACCATTTTGCTTTCTATATATACCAGCCTCCTCCAACATAGACAGAAGTTAACCTCACACCTTTATGCTGAACCCCCCCAGCTCTGTACCTCATTCCCCACTCTTAACTCCATGTGACACCTGTTTTTTTGAGACCCCACCCCTCCCCCAAACCATATGTTCCCTTGCCCCTTAGGGCACAGACTGGTGCCTGCTAGACTGGTACCTGGTTTTCCCAACACCTTTGAGAACTCCACAGCCAGGCCCAGCCTATCTCCTTGGCTAGTTCTCCATGTATGGCAAGGGGTGCTCATGCTTCTCTAAACAGATGTAGTCTGCTCCATGGTGGCAAGAGTCACCCCAGGCTAGTGCCGCAACGTTTGCCCCTTGCTGCATGTCTTGAGAAAGCTGTTTTCAGTTAGCGACCTTTGTCTCTGGACTGACACGTTTCTGCCTGCCTGTCCTGTGGGTGTGACTGTGCCTTAAAGTGGGCGTTTTTCCCACCTTGCTCTCGGTTGCCTTTTGGCCTGTTCATAACTTGTGAGCTCTTCTGCCTTTCCTGGATCCCCTCACTCAGGCCCCTAGTAGTGTCCAAACTACTAGGACTGGGTCTTCCACAGGCATCCTGACATCAGCCATGCCAGTGGACACTGTCCTGCCTGTATGCCCACTCAAAGGGCAGAGATGGCTGCAGCTGGTATTCCAGATATCTGTTCCTGATTGGACCAGCAGGATGTTTGAAAGGTAATTTAGCTGGACCATGTAGTAGTTTCCACTCATAAAATAGGTCGGATTCAGGTATGTCTTCCAACAGCTTCTGCAAAGGCAGTAGTAGAAGCCCATTGGGGAAGAGAATTTTTTTTATTTTTGCTAGTGATCTGTAAAGACATGGTTGACTGTTTTCTCAAGAAGATTTGAGTTAGTTTGAAGATGTTTCCCCTGGGCTGAGAAGATAGATGGTTCAACTGGTAACATGTTGTACAAGTGTGAGGTCAAGTTCAGATTCCCAGACTCAAAAAGCTAGGTGAGATGGTGCATGCCATGATCCCTGGGGAGCTGGAGACAGGGATTCCTGGAGCTTGCTGCCAGCCAGTCTCACCAAATAGGTAAGCTCTGTGTTTAAGAAGAAAGCCTTGTCTCAAAAAATAAGGTGAAGGGAAATAGAGGAAGACACTCGATAATTTCAGATAAAATTTGACGTAAGAAACCTGTTTAATAAAAGTTTCCAGAATTAGATAATCCTTTGGACAAGCTTTTTAGTGAACTCCTAACTGGACCCCCAGCATGCAGCACTCACTTTTCTAAGTGGGACCCTTAGATTCACATACACTATTTGTAGCCCTCCCCTTCACCCTGTAGTACCACATGAACTGTCTTGCCTTCCCCCTTGCACCCTAGAGCCCTCTCTTGTGACCACACTGTGGGGCCTGGGACTCGAATCTTTTTGGAGGCCTGTAGCAGGTACAGAGGAACATGTCCTTTAAAAACCAAGCATTTGAGGTTGTATATAAAGTGGAAATGTGTGGCCCTAGTTCAGCCAAGAATTGAAAGTTTGCTGCGGCAATGTTTTCACTGTGTGCAGGCCTTGGTAGCCTCTTATACATGGGCCCTTCCTGCCGGTAACAGCTTACCTCCTTGGCTCAGCCCTGATCTTGCTGCTGCTGCTATCCCTCCCTCTTTCACAACCTTATAGCAGTTGGGAACCTTAGGAACCCCCTTGCCTTTGCCCCAAGATGACAAGCAGGATATCCATGTCATTTTTGCTCCTTGTTTGTTTTAATTGTATGAATAAGTGACTGTTTCACCCTGGCTTTTGTGGCTG